CTGAAGATCTAACGACTTCCAAAGACCATTATCTCTAAGTTCATGTCCACTCGTATACACTCAACTACACGATAATTATATAATTTTCGTAGTTCGTCAAGCGCCTCGAGAATGAGGCACGCATTCATTAGACTCTCCGGAAGTCCGTCGCGTGCTTCCATCGCCGATAGCCCATTGAATTATTTATACTTTTAATATTGTAATTATTATACACCAGCGGTCTGCCTTATTATCATTTAGGTTATTATATTAAATGTTATAATAACGCTCACACAGAAAGGTTATACATATCGATAAGGAGATAACGTCCGCTGTCAGCGTTTAATGAGCGTTTTCGTTTATACCGATCGACGCACTCGCGCACTCGCATGCTAATTCCGTATTCACCAACTTGTTGTTTATATTATTACACGCGATGTACAAATTCTTTTACAATTTGTACTCGTTTGTCCAACTTGACGATCTTATTCGATATAAAATGTTATGATGTTTGCAGCTACAAAAATATTATCGATTATTTTAAGTAGATATTGACAATAACTACTTACACAAAACTTCAGTTTCCAAGACGTTGATTTTTTTTTAATCTTACACAACTTATGGAATCGCTATACTGAACAGGAATAGTTAAGTTGTCAAAGATAAAATATTATGTATTTAAAGTATTAGCAATTAGACAGACAGTCATCCGTTTATTGATTACCATTAATTATAATAATATGAGCTTTTAAGTAGCAAAAGTATGTAGTGGTTTTTTCTAGCATCTGACGGACCACTTTCCTGTCCTCTCCAGTTGTAGTTTCTCTCAGGGAGATAGAGATGGCTCTAGTGGTTATAATGTTTTACATAAGATATAAATACATTTGCAGTCCATAACACCATTAAAATTCAATATGCGTTTTGACGTTTATGAAATTTATTCGGGCTTGTACAGTCCAGCGGAGTGTGGCACAGCTGCACTAAAGTATAGAATTTCATTAAAAATTACCGGTTCTTAAGTAAAATAATGCGGGTAGACGGTCCGTTGGCAAATGGCGGACACACGTGTCCAAGGAAGTACCACCTTAGGCCACCTGAACACTAAACTAGTGGATTTTCTCACGGTCCTGCAGTAAAAGGGTATAACGCATTAAAACACAATGGGAAAAACTGGTAATAGCACTTAGGTGTCCGCGACTAAGTGACCCGTGTCAAGTTTTGACTGTTGCAAGACTGTGTTTACAATACACATCATAATTTATGTAGATTAATTAGTAAATCGTACCTACTGCTTTTCTACTAACCTTAGAATAACATACACTTTTGTAGTCTGAAATTAAGAATTATATTTAATAACCATGTTTTTGAAACAAAGACAATTGGATATCAAACCTTCTCAAAGACTTAACTGACAGGAGTTGCTCTTAGCGTATAAACTTAATTTGCACCAGCATAAATTTATGTACGGTATTTGGGCATAGGTACCTACCTGAAAATTTAATACGACTAAATATTATAATTTTTAAATTAACTGCAATTCCGAAAATGAAAAAAGGTCATTACACTATCAGAAAATATATAGATATTTAAAAGTCGTTGAAATAACGAACGAAGTTTATAGGTTTATTTATTAAAGGCCTTGTACGAGTAGTAGCTATTATTTACCTAACTTGCTATTGATAACATCAACAGTTCTTTATAAGTAACACAAGATTTCAGTGTGGGAGAGCCATGCTTCGGCACGAATGGGCCGGTTCGACCGGAGTGATACCACGGCCTCACAGAAATCCGGCGTGAAACAACCACAGCGTTGTGTTTCGCCGGAGGCCCATTTTTTATAGAACAGAAGGCAAACGAGTAGACGAATCACCTTGTGGTAAGTGATCAGCGCCGCCCATGAACTAATAAACTATAAACTACGAAGAAACCCTAAAACGTTAACATTTCAATCTAGTTACTTAAGATAAAAGATTTAATTTTAAATTACATACATAATAACAATAACAATAGGTAATTAAAATATTAAAATCGCCTCACAAGTGTAATCAGTGATCACTGTAAGCAAAAGTGACCTCGAAACGAAAGTCTTTTTTTATGTTAATACACCAGTTCTTCACACAAAGCAGTCTGTGGACTTAATGCCTGAAATCACTGTAAGCAAAAGTAACCTCGAAACGAATGTCTTTTTTTAATGTTAATACACTTCAATTCTTCACAAAAAGCAGTCTGCCTGAAGGCATTCTCTTACAGTCAGCTATAGAGTGGTACAGAGAAATCAAGTCGGTTCCAGCTAAATAAGTATATTGTCCCAGAAAAAAATACGATAGAGAAAAAAGAGTTTGAGTAGTACTTATAATATACTAGCTTCTGCCAGCGACTTCGTCTACGTGGAATAGTCGGTTCCGGCACCACACCACGGTTTCGGTTATACCACATAGTACCCGATCCCCGATTTTCAGGAAGTTCTCCTTTTGAATTCCAGGCATAAAAAACTATCATATGTCCTTTCCCGAGTTTCGAACTATGTCTGTACTAATTTTTATCCAGTGTCTAGTTTAACGTTTAACAACACATTGAAATAACTCAAAAACCGATTACTTAATTATGATTTTTTACGCGCCACATAACATGTTATATTTTCCTGGCAATCTTATTCTATTACTTATAATTAAAACATACATATGTATCTATGTATTTCACGAGCAAATTTTTCTTAGATACTATAAAATTAGTGACTGATTATACCTATTATAAAATGATTATATTACAGTTCTATTCTCTTTTCGCCTTTTATCATTATGTCAAACCAAAGAAGAATTTGGAAATGGCTTCACACTGTCACACCTGTTTCTAAGTAGGTATTCAGAAACAAGCTATTTATAGATTAACTCAATACACGTTTTAAATGCTATTTAATAAAAGCTTTTTAACATGTGCAGGCCAAAAAAGAGTTTAAATGCGTGTCATAAGAATTTCCTCGAGTTAAGCAAAGATTAGACAGCTATAGACGCAGCTATGGAGGGTGAAGCTCGTATTTATAAACATCACAAGTTACTGTCAAAACGTCATCTGTAAAACCGTCGTATATGACAATTTCATACCTTCAACAAACATGTTATGAAAAATTATTGCCATAAAGTTCCAAACTTAAGTAGGTTCGATTTGAATATGATTTATTGTTATTAGTCGCCTAACTAATCACTAATGTAAGTAGGTAGTACATCAATAATATTATGATGGAATGAGAATTTAGTAATAAACTTTGCATAATATTGTCAGTTTCCGTCAATGATATTGGCTTAATGGTAATATTTCTGTGATCTAACGATGGGAAGGTCGGGACTTCTTGTTTAACTTTGTTGGCGAGTTAATTAAAGGGTCTCTTTAACATCTAGGTGAATGTATTATCCACAAACTAAAAGTTATTAATGGGTTTAACATTAACATTTGTTAATTTATAGTTTGAGGTAAAGTGTAACAATTTAATATGAATAAAATATTATTTATGTTTATGACGGGCCGTCATATCTTACATTATTAATGTAAAGATCTGTTCAAAAGATTTGCCCGAACATTGTACGTACAAGTGTTTCTTGCACGTTTTACTTTCAATTTGGTGTTTAATGATTTATATCGGAACACACTCGTAATACAATCGTTAATTTGCTTTCTTCGAGTTTTTCAATGTGCTTATTATGCGACCACTGTGTTCACAAACATTAACTGACATTTTTGAGTCACGCTACCTTTAAGGCTGGTTGTACGAAAGCGAACTAAAAAGGGTCGCATTTACTACCTACGAAAAAACAAATGATTTTCAAATATTATATAGTTTTTGAATACAAACTAAAATAATTTCTTTGGACAAGGGTTACCAACCAAATTGATAAAATACAAATTGATTGATTTATATTGATTAATTGTTTAACAAAGTAACCCTGTATTTTATATAACACTAAAATTAATTACCTATACCTAGATTAACTATTTGTATGGTAATTGTATGTAAATAGGTAGTTGAATAAAACCTTCTTTTCAATTCGAAATGTAACCTAACCAAACCTATTATTTAATTATTAGAATCGTAAATTAATTCAACAAAAACAGTTTAACAATAATTGTGAAAATCTAAAAGTAAGTACAAGAGCCCTTAAATATTTTTCAACAATCTGTCCTTAAAAATTACAGCCGGGAAGGTCATTAACATTTCAGTTGCTTATAAAGAAATGCAATTAATTCTACACAAATGGGAGGGCTCAACGTTCACAACATTGTCCACCTACAACGAATAAATCAAAAAAAGTTGCTTCATTATAATCGGAAAGGCAACTAATCGGATCTTGGGCGGCATTGTTTATTGATTGAACAGATAAATACTCAAACTTCCGACTTCTTTCTAAGGTATTTATAAAAACATTGTGGTGTGTTACTTTTTAAAGATAGAATGTTATGGCCGTTAATAAAAAATAGCAGAATGACGGCTAGATACAGGAAATACGTAGATAATTTTGATATAATGATTAGTAATTATAATAAAAATTTAAAACATCGGAACGTAATCAAAACAAGCGAGTGCATTCATTCTCAAATCAATTATTGAGGACTTATTCCTCAATGCTCAATTAATAAATTTACTTGGTTAATTTGCATCTTCATGTAGTTACTTACTCGTATCGCACAATAAACCGCGTTTATTTATCTTCAAAAACACTTTTTACAGAAATTAGTGATTAATAAAAATAGTAACAACGACAATATTAAAATGTAGTCAGTAATAGCAAACAGTCCAGACCCTGGGGTTGGCTGACAGAGGATTACAATAAGTTAATTGCGCGTATGACCGGGTTTTTTTAAGACATCGTATTTATCTGATAGCAGTACTACTGAAGAGATTCCCCATTCAGGTATTCAAGATTCTACATTCGGTACCTACTTTAATCGAATCAGATCACCTACATACCTTTTCAAGGCTGAACTGCTTTTGATTAACCAGACCAGACCTGACCCATAGGGTATGGATACTACGACGGATGTCCGAAACCACTGACGTCTTGGACTGGGTGTTCATTGAACACATAGGAAATAACAGATGAATTCGCCAAGTCGATATGGGACTGGTATTGAATAGCCACTAGAATTAGAAGGAGATGGCGATACGGATGATAAGGGTCTCTATTCTTAAGTCTCAACTCCGGCGCGGTCAAAACCAAACGCGACCTGAATGGCGCTACGACACCACAGATGGGGCTCAATAGACCTGATGGTAAGCCAGGATTGCAGAACAAGTGTAAAAAGAACCATGGGCCTGGTCTGGAGCAGGACAAGGCGCGGTGTAGTCTTTAGTCAGCGTCTGATACTCTCTCTCGCCCCACCTATGGCGGGCGTAGTCAATTCATGATTTTCCACGTCAAAAAAAGGAAAGACAAGTAAACTTATGACCAGGAAAGTTAGTTTGAACAAAATATTAAGGTGACAGGAATGATCTGGTTTTGTTTGTCAAGTATAAAAATATGACATAAAACAGAGGTATCCACTAAAATTTTGTTACAAGGAAACTAAGTTGCGAATAATTAACATGGAGAGGCATATATGTAATTACTTCTCTCGCCTTGAAAGAGAGTTTCAGACTCTTACTAACTAAAAACCAGCACCACCACCTCCTCTACCACCTGCCGTTCCTTCGTGCTGGTGTCGAGCCAGGACTTCGGTACATTTATTAGATTGTACCAGCAACCTCGGAACACCTCATTTACTATCTGCACAAAATGTAAAATTAAGAAAATAGAAACATTTACAGTAAGGAAAAGGCTTTTTTTATTTATCAATTAATTTATATATCGTGAGATAAACCAAATTAATTGAATACGCGCTGCTCAAGAATAAGAGTCCCGTTCTAATTTGAAACTAGTAGTCACGCAGTTAGTTCACGTAAACATGTATGTCATTGATTCAACAAATACAGGTAAAATTAATTACAAGATATCACATGACTCGTAGTATAAGGAGTTTGTTTGATAAGCTACGTCACAAAGACGTTCACGTTATTTTGATGTAGTCCTGAATTCCCTACTATCTGTTGGATAATATTGATTGACGAATAGACACTGTTATAGATATATAAGGCAACTTGCATTCTAAGAGAAGGTTGACGGTTAACTAGCGCTCTACAGGTCATTGTTGATCGACCCAAACCAAACAGATTGGTCCACACCACAGATACACAAAACAAAATTGCCATACGAAAAGATTGCAAGGCTTTTCTCCTAATGTGACATTTTCAACAACTCTTATCAAAGTTTGGCAATGCCAACAAAGAAAGATGATCTTGAAATAAACAAATTATAAGTACCGCTTTATTAAATAGATAATTAAATTATACAAACTAGAACAATCTAAAGGAAAGGCTTAGATTTAAAAATATAGATACGTTTTACTAGAAAGACTGTAAATTTTGAAATGTGCATTTGAAGTGAATCTTAAATTTAATTTCTAGTTTTATATGTCATCTTTGTCATAACTTAGGTGCGTATCAAATAAATAAGAATAATTACAAAGTCCATAAATAAAATGGCGACGACGTAGAGATTTATTAAAAAAATGTGATAGATTATACTTTATACAATCATATAGTTAGACACTGTCAGTGATAAATTTTAGTTATTGCTCCAACAATTTCTCATTCGAATGCAGTCAATTGCGCTTGTCAAAACAAAGATTAATTTAAAACAAACAAACCAAATATTGATTCCAATTGACTATATACTTTAGTACCTACATTAGTATATGTTCGAATCGCTACATTTTAGTCAGCAATCGTGATCCCTTCAAAATAAGGGTTGACTATGTGAACGCCACGTACTAACCTATCATTAACAAGGCCTGAAATGACAAGTTACGTTCAATAATTACCTTTGTTGGGGGCAAACTTATCTATGCTTTCATCTGTTTGAAATAGAACCAAAACTTGTCATGTCAAGGATTTTCCAATCCTTTTATTAATGTAAATTGTATTCTATCGAACGTATGACATGAAACGACTGCATACTGAAAAATTGATTATCTTTCTAGTTATTACACTACCTAGATTTGAAATATACCAGGCGGAGGGCTGGTAGGCTTGCGTTTCACTTACCCACCTAGTATCTATCACCTTGAAGCACGCGTGTTAGGGAGAGTGAAACCAACTCTACAATATTGCGTGACAGAAACTCGTGTGAACACACACCGAGTGAATTTTACATAAGTATTTTATTTTATACTAAATTGATACAATGTAAATTATATTCCGTTGTGTTTTTGTAAACAACAGAAATTGCTATTCTTGCCTATTGTAAAGTAAATGAGTATGTACCTATTTACTTTGCTGGGACGCCTAACAATTGTAGATAAATGTTTTCTTACATTTACACTATGACTATTTCTTTAGACATATACTATGTTTTTCGTATGTGGTAGGTCGGTTGTTTTGTATGTTTGCCAACCTTTAGGTAAGCAATGGGCGCCGCTCATGGACTCTCGCATCACTTGAGCAATTACGAGTGCGATGCCTATTGGGGATTAGGGTTTCAGAGATTTAAGGATTAAGAAGGCTAAACAGTTGTCAAGTTTGGTCAGAGATGCTCCTTTCGAAATTTGGATTCGAAAGTTTCGATATTTCGCTTCGTGGTAAGACATATAAATATACAACAGGCACTACTCACGGATCAAAAGGTTGTTTTTTTTGTGCGTATAGGAAAAAATATGTGGGTAGGTAGCTAATGTATTGATAATTTATAAGTTTATTCCCGTGCCTCGTTTTCGTGTTAGTACACAAACTTTACTATCGCTATATTTGTCCTCTTTTCCGATTCTATTTTATCGCATTAACTTTCAAAGTATAAATTTTGGAACGTTTTTTTTTGTTATTTATTAAATATTATATATCATATTTTACTAGACTATTAAGTTTCTATGATTTTACGAGTACTTATCTTTTTGTTTTGTTTTATGTAAGCTTTTAGGTATACGAGAGTAAGTTATCAATTATTACCTACACTTATTTTAATATTACTTATTCATTTATGTTGATTAAAATTCGTACTTAATTTCTGGAAATGTTCGAATTAAGAATACCAGTTGCCGGTGTTGATCGGAGTCAAAAACCGATGGTGTTTAAGAGATAAGACTCTCAATTATCCTCTGGCAACAGAATAATTTGTTCAGGAATACTGTACTCCTTGTGAAGATGCGAACACACGTAGATTGAAAGTGAGATTGACATTGTAATCTCAGAATTTTATTACACCTGGGTCTAAATATACCTAAAGATTCATTATTAACTATAACAGGATAGTGTCACCTTATATATATCAAATCAAAAACGAGCTTGTGTCTCGATCATTTTTAACTACAGTCAATTAAGCAACAAAAATATAGTTATGATATCACGATGGGCGTTACTGATTTTTTTCCCGGATCAGATGATCATTCATTGGAGCCACAGGGGTCCAAAGATTAAAGGTTGGAAAATGGCATGACATCACGCTAGCGTAAGTATGGAAGAAAATGAGAGGGAAGTTATAAAATTATACTCCTACTACTATTAAGTGTGTGGGCTGCTTATTGCCTTGTGCAAACCCCTACTTTACCAAAGAAAAGTGTTGATAGCGGTCTGTAATTGACTAGCACGGCACAAACTACACATTATACTTTTTTCAAATTTGCATCAGCTATCCAATATCGTACCCGCTGATTTATTATTTTAAACTCATTTACGCCCGTTCAAGTAAAGAAGTTGTTTTATCATAGTAAAGATTTTCCAGTGTCATCGATATTAATTCAAATACAAGGCCAATAACCGATTCAAATACCAATAACAGTTCCATGTTTCAGCGAAGACATCGTTGTAGAGACGCGAATGTTGCGGTGAATGGCGCTCTTACTCGGGCAATTAAGCATAACAGCAGTACCAGGCCCCGGGCACCTTGCCACATGGCAGCAGACTCGAATCTCGTTTTATATTGGAACTGGTCTAACCCGCGGTGTTAGAGATATGTCTCTAGCTTAGCTTTAGTAGTGCGGCCAAACACGAGCCTATATTCAATACTTACAGTAAAAATATAAATCCCCTCTGGATATTTGATAATCCGCTTATAAATAAGTAGTCTCGTAAGGATAAATTGCATTTTGTATGATACAGTGAAAGATTAACTATTATGTAAAACAGTATCATTTTTTATTATCTACACAATATCTGTTTTCATTTTAACAAAGAATAAAGTGAATTGGTCGCTTAAACGTTAAACTTTAAATGATATAAAATATCACTTTAGTATTATATCTGTTCTAAAATTTATTGGTGGTTCACAATTTTTACTTTATAGGAATTCATTGAGGAGGACGTTGCTTGAGAACGAAGCTGTCTGTTCTTTATAGATTAATTACTAATGCTTGTACCCTTAACGTATCGTTGCTCATTTATAAAACCTTAAGCCAGAAAATGTACATTGTGCGTAGTTTAAACTATTATATTTCAATTGACCGCTATATTTTTGTTTTTTAATCCTTGCTTGTGCTTAGATTTATTTAGTATAATAATATAAAAGCATTTTATTAGCATTTGATATGAAAAGCTACGCTTTGATAGGTACACATGCGACCTCCTTGTTCTGTTGTCCCGTTTTTGTTAGACTTTTATTACCGCTGACTATGCTGATTGGGGCTCAAACAGAGATGTTAAAATTTTTAAATGCGTATCAGAATTTTCTGGAAAAGTAATCACCTGTATACGTTTCGAATTAAACTATACGGGTTATTGGTTGATTGATTTCTGGTTCTAATTTCTGGATGATATAAACCTGTTGTAGAAAACAAAAAAACACACAATTATACGAATTTCAGCATGAAACCTATACAAAAATACGCTCATTTCTTTTGCAATTAATCATATTCTCGCCATCAAATAAAAGTCGAGGAATAGGTAACTCATAGACAAGTCTTTATAAAATATATATAATATTGTCTGAAACGAATAAAATGGTGTTACCTAGGGGGTAATAAAACGTAACATTTAATGTTAATGAAAAAATGAACTAAAAATTAATTAACTTACGATTTAATAAGAACTTAGGCCCTTAGTTACTTATATATAGAAAATGATTGGCGTTTAGTTTATTTCGATGTTGTAAGTTAAAATGGTTTTAGTTGGTAAATACATAGTATTTTGATTACCTACTTCCTTATGGAATTAAGAAGAAGTCCAAAAACAAAATGTTTTACTTCTTTATTTAGTAGATGATACTAACCTACTTAGGTAAGTAGGTATTACTTATTGTACGCAAATGTCGCTTAGTGTGTTTATAAAATTGATGAAGATACAACCAATATGGTATCTTTATTGTAGCAATAAAATAATGTGTAAGTATATCATTGTAAGGTACCTAAGTGGATTGCTAAGTAGGTACTTGTCTGACTTCAATTAAACTTTGCCTGATACTTAGGTAAACTAGATACTAAAGTATTGTCAAAAAATCTTCGTAATTGTGAAATGCGATTTGCTACTGAATTCTTTACGTTTATCACTTACGTCTTGTTGATTAAAGAAGTCATCTTGGGCGTCTTCGTTTGCACACCCCATGTCTTGAAGGAGCGGGGTTACGTGCCGCTCCCAGTCATCCATTATTAAACTTTTAAAGAACAGTTAGATCAAAACGCGAATCGAAATCACAGTTCAACTATCTTCACAAACCAACAAATCTATTGTCTTAGCGTTTACCACAGACAATCAGCATTCCCTGAGAGCGCAACATTGAATCGCTCATTTCGCGCCAAAAACTTCTCAGTATTACTTTTTACTTTTCCGTGAGCTACTGGAAGTGGCGGGAAATGGGCGAGATCGCACGCGACACTCAGCTGTCACAAAGTCGAGCGAAAGAGAAAAAAACAGCTGCGGCCGCGGGCGTATCACGTGCCCGCTGTTACCGGCGCGCATTCAAAAAACGTACTAGGAGAAAAGTCTGTGTTAGCAGCGTGTGCGGAGTCAGTGTGGCGAGGCGCGGGTTCCCGGCCGCCCGTCGACGCGACCGGAACAGGAGTGCGTGGCGGTCCGCGACTTCGTACGCCCTCTGCGTCGCGCCGCCTCGCACTCTTCTCGCTCGCGCCTCCTCCACATCAATTTCGCCGTCCCGTTCACCTGGCTCGGCGCCGCACGCCTCCCATGGGCGGCCGCGATTTCCCGCTGTCCGTCTGTGGCCGCAACATGGCCGTACCACTCTGCAGACCACTGCTTACCAACTTTAAACATCATCCTTAGTCCACTGTGGTCACTATAAATGAGTAAATAACTGAAAAACATTAGTTAACTTTGAATACCTCACACATTAGACGTACGAACGAACTAATACTGCTACTAGTACTACTGTACAAACTTAGTAGCTACTGCCAGCCAAGACAGAAACTTTTCGTTTTCAAAAGTTTTTCTTAAGTAGATACAACATTTTTCATGAAAAGTTAAACAAAAACTGAAAATAACAATTTCAATATATATTTACAGAAGACATTCGTCATGAGTGTTAATGGTCAATTACCTAATTACCCACCTAAGTTTTAGCCCACGAAATAGTTAAAATTATGGGTCTATTTTTATGAAACAATTAAAAAGTTTTATTTATCAGTTTTTCTCCCTTAATACATTCATATCATGTTTGTATGTATAGGCAATAAGTGCCTACTTAAAATAAATAAAATTGCCAGATATTAGGTACTAAGAATAGATTATACGAGTATCTATAAGTATTCTTACCTATCCACCCGTGTCATCTAAAACTAAATATCTACTTACCAATATATACGTATAACTACTTAAAAATCAGTTCGATACATTAAATCTTTATTATTTACGTTGCTGGTTGGGCCTGAACCTGAAACTAAACTATCTCAGAACAGAAAGCAACTTTGGTCATTATTAAAAGCGTGGAGTACCTATAACATAGTTAAACACTTACGGCGAACAAAGTTTCTGAAGACCGTACAAGCGGCCAATTAAAAGTTAAATGTCTAATTCTTGTTAGAAGCGGGAAGTCCACAACTAGTGGGTATTACTAAATTGAAAGTTCTTCAATGTTATGCATAGGTACGACACGGAACCGCCCCGGTTGTGATGGACCACACGAAAATCTAATCAGGATAATGATAAAGTTCGCTCTATAACAAATTAAAACTTACTGTTCGGTTGGAAAAGGATCGTTAATGAAGATTTCTTGGTAGGTAGGTACAAGAGTGTGGTATATTGAATTTTCCCGACATCTAGAGTAACTAGACTTATCTTTTGCAAAGAAGAAGTGGGAAAATCTATTAGGTATATTATTAAATACAAAAGCAACTTAGAAACATTTGTTTCTATAAAATTTTATTGTTATTTATATGAACTAAGTCGATCTTGGACCTGTTATCCATTACTAGATTATACGACAAGAATAATCTGCTTACCTACCTCAAACATTTTGTGGATAACATATTTGTTTAATTTCCATGTAAGTCGTCATTGATGCGCTTCGTTAAAAGGAAGCAAGTTGTCATTTATTAAATGGATAATGTTAGAATGGTTCATATTAAAAAATCCGTGATGCTTAACCTAGGGTTCCTAATAAAAGTCAATTAATATTTTTTAACATAAATTTCCTTGACTTCTGTATTAATTGTTATCTTTGTCCAACATCATCGCTATTATCACGGAAGTGTGATAACTATATACTTACTATTATTTTCAAGTCATAAAGGAAAGCTTTTAACGCAAAATAAGAAAATTTCAATTAAAAAAGTGCTTTTTTGTGAGGCCGGTCGAGAGGGAGTGTCAGACTCTTACTGACTAAAAACCCCCCTGTTCCTTCTCCTGCTCTGGGCCGAGGTCGTGGTGCCTCATTGCGCTTACCCCGCAACCCCGGCTGAACATCAGCCCTATAGGGCCCCGTCTGTGGTGGTCTATTGGCTCTTTGAGGCGCGTGGGGAACGCTACGCGCCGTACGCTAATTTAAAAAAAAAAGTGCTGTAAATATAACACTTAAATATATGTAGTTTTAATTAATTAATTTAATTTTTCATTTAAACGGGATAAAATGTTCTAACTGTACCCAAACTTCAAACGACGAGTTGTTGAGTTGGAATTAAATTCTTTTTGCCACGTATATTTTTTGTTTTGAAAAGTCGATCAACTATTAATTTATATACCCCCAAAATCATGATCTACGGTTGATTCGGATCGGATACGGATCTACGATTAAGGCATGGAATTTTGTTACAATTTATGATAAATGAACTTAACAAGAATTAATTAAGTTGTATCATCTATACCAATATTATAAAGAGGCAAAATTTGTAAGTTTGTATGTAGGGGGTAATCTTTGGAACCGCTGGTCGGATTGCCAAAATTCTTTCACTGGTAGATAGTTACAATGTTCCTGAGTTCTATAGGCTATAAATCATCACGCTACGATCAAACAGAGCTGAGCAGCGTGTGAAACCACGCGAGAATAGCCAGTTATTTATACCTACTAAGCTTAAATACTAAATCTGAGCTTTCCCAAACCTGTGAAAAGCCTCAAAATGTTGTTGTCGAGTTAATAACAAAATCGGAAGTTTTAGAATCAAATAAACTTAATCAAAAACTGCACATTTAGAATTATGTAGTACTGATTTAACATTGCCACTTTATTAATTTATCTCAAAAGTTCTTTTCGACGAAACTCACACAGGTATTTTCTTTATACAGAGGTAGGCATTACATTTAGATTACCTATCTAATTGATTCAATTATCATTAAATACATATAACTGTATAAAAACCAAATATATATAGCTACAACTACTTTAGCCTATATCAATCCGTGCATGCTTATATAGGTATTATATATTATAACATTTTAATTATAATTTCCCTGGAGGAGGTTCTCCCGCTGTTATTTATAGAAATCTTACTAAACCTATTATTATGATAAAATATCTACAATTTTTTCAGTCATTTCTTTCAGTGGTACACATACCTAATCCTTATACGTATACCTACGTTTAGTTTAGTTAGGTACAGGTATATGTGCAGCACATGTGTTAATCAAAATTTTATTTCAAATTATTAAATGATTTAAATAATAGTTTTAAGCGCTAAATATCTTTTCTGGTAGATAGACCCGTGCATCTCGACGCCTGAAGCGTCGACAGGGCTCTTCATGCTACCATTCCCGGAGACCATCTTATAAATGGTCTTCCTTCGAGTTTAACGCAGTGAATAAAGGCAAATAAGTAACTTGCGAATTTGGCCGCAGGTTGTATTTGGAATCGTGTGACCCATGGCCTTCTACGGGGTTCGTTCGCTGGTCGCGTTCCATAGCGTTATCCGTAAAGGTATCGTTAAATTTCCAGGAAGCCGGCGAATGTCCTAGCTGGATCACAGCTCTAGCCGAAGTCGATCGCACTCGTCTGCAGTTTGTGAGTTAGGGCGCCTGATTAGGCTCATGGCGGTATGGAAACAATGGCTGTCTCAATCTAGGGTCGGGTTGGGTACTGCTCAGCCCGGCTCTCAGCAGATGCCTACCGAAGATACGGAAGTCGCAGGAGAAGCCTGTTTGTGAAACACCCGATGTCGTCACTACGAGGACTCCCCAGAGAATACGGTGAAGTATACATAATCAGGGTGGCGGTGTATCCTACTTGGGCGTGAGAGGTCGCTCAAGTAGGGTACCACGAGAGGTCGCGTGCTGCGGCCTCTGACGCCATGCCTTAGTCGAGGCCATAGTGCGGATCGAGAGGAAAAGGCAATCTGTCTCTTTTTTCTAGAAGCAGTTATACTTACAAAGAAGGATAACTTTAGCCACCGAAGGGGGAGATGTTCACGGTGTCGGTCGTTGATTTCGACGGGTGAGCTTCCCTTGCTTAGCCAGAACCAGAACCGAGTGTATAGCGCGTAGCGTTTTACGCGGCCCTTAAAGAGCAATTAGTCCACCACTGATGGTTGGGCCCTACCTGGTGATGCTCCACCGGGCTTGCTGGTGCAAACCCAAAATGGACGTGTAACTCCAAGGAAGAAGCAACTTCTCTCATATGCCTAAAAAGTAATTAATAGAAGAAAATTCAGGATAGATAGCGATAGATACCAAATGCAGTAGAAGCAATATCGCTTCTCTCGCATAGTTGCATCTATTACACAGGTAGGAGTGTAGATGCGATAAGAAAACTAGTCAGAAGGCCGATGAGGACGAGCAAACAATTGCTAAGACTCTCGTTATATCTACTTGTGAACAGATATTCTCTGCTGGAGCAGGTCAGCTTACCCAGCATGTTATTGAGTTGATTTAGTACGGCCCTTGATAAAATGGATTAGGTACCTTAAAAACTTAAATTTAGGTACTTATATTAGATATGTTACACACCTACCTACATATGTATTCTTGGGGTGATTATAAACTTGTTAGTTTCAGTATGTATCCAACATAAATATTTTTAGGGTTAGAGCTGGGCGATTAAATGTAAAGACATAGTTACTGTGTGACTGTAAATCCACGACTGGGGAATTTGTTTGACGGAACGCAGTAGCCGTCGCTATTATCATATACCTACTTGCCTACCTGGATATATTATAGTTTTACAAATAAGTACATAGATAGGTACATTCCTACGTCACGAAATCATATTTGCTGTCTCTAGAATAGAATGTAGGTGTATCACCAGTGCGTGGAACGAAATCTTACATTTTTATGACTGCTTCTTTTCCATTGACCTACCTAGTCTAAGACAATGAGCATTTTTTTGAGTTTAGTTTAGCTTGATTTGCTAATTAGTATGTTTTCAGCTTACTCACGTAATAATTTGACGAGATACTCGACTAGTTTCAAGCCCTGCTAGAGGCCCATATTCATGAGCAGCATTTCGCGATACGCGACGCGGCGACTGTCGCGTTGCTACTGTAGCAGTGGCTTGAAACTAGTCGAGTATCTCGTCAAATTATTACGTGAGTAAGCCGAAAACAATAATTAGCTTGATTTGCTTTTTAACATAATATTAAGAGTAATCAAGCAATAAACAACTAACAAAATAAAAAAATTTCAGCTTCTTTTCCCGCTCAGGGTGAGTTAAGAATAGTTGCCAAAATACCTCCTACGAATCATTTTTACATTGTGTTCATTTTATCAATCTTCATTCTTAGTTTCGTAATCTTTTAATTTTTATTTTGTATCAAATTCATCTAACGGGTATTATTTACGTGACTACTCCTCATTTGTAAATATGCTAATGATCGCATTCTCTGAAAAATGGAACGCAAATGTCAAACCTCATAAACTGGAACACGCTTGTCCGTTTGACGTTTCAACTTCTAAGTTTTGTGTTCGGTTTATAGTTATTCTTGGTGTTATTGTAGATAGTTTTAAAGGTGATTCATTATAAAGAAAATGTCGCCACCGACTGAATTAAGTTTTGAGGAAATACTTAAGTTTATGTTGTTGCATAATGGCAGAGTAACTAACCATGAGTTAGTTAAACATTTTAAAGTTTTTCTTATGAATCCTGATATGAGAGGTAAGTAAGTTACGTAGGTCATAGAGTGTATAACTTTTTTATCATGTTTGCTTGAAATTGATCTTGTTTTTTAGATGAAGCCAGAAGTACTTTTAAGAAACACGTAAATTCTTTAGCCATAATAAAAAATCAAAACAATGAAAAGTGGCTTATACTAAAGAAAAAATATATGCCAAATAATGGCAAAGATAATGAAGATGTCACAGAAAAGGCAGCTGATACTACTAACACTTCAGTGACAGAAACACCCACAGAAGCAGAGATGCCCGAGGCTGAACAACCACCAGAACGTCCACCACTACCATTACAACTCAACCAAGATTTTAATATTATATCAAGCCTTATTCAAGATAACGTCCATAATGTTAATAATTCGGAAGCCATATCTGACAGTCAATCCCAAGAAAGCTTGACATCAATCCCTAGTGAAGACATACCACCTAAAGTACATCCCCGTAGACGGTCATCAGAAAAAAGTATTGAAAAGCGATCTAGTGTACAAGGAATGCAGGGACATAGGTCTTCCATACCAAATCAAGATGTCTTTACACCTGATATTACAGCATCACCGACATTAACTTCATCCAGGAGTGAAAGCATGTTAGTAGATAGCGAACAGACAATCTCAGTGAAGGAAAGAAAACAAATGTTTAACAGAATGGCTTCAGAGAGTGATGTACTTAAGACTAATAAACTGGGTGGAAACTTAAGCTCACAGGTGAGTCCTTAACAGTATGATATTCGTACTAATCTTGTATACACTACTTATCTTTTAAGTATGTAAGAATGTATAGTATAAAATGTGTTTGGTCAGGCAAAAATATTTCAAACTCAATACAAAAGAAATAAGGACCTTACTCAACACAAGAGAAATAAAGACTTACTTATATTTAGCAATGAAATTATCAAATATTATTTTATTTCATTTAAAACAATTAGTACACATTGATTTGAAAGGTATTTTGCTAACTGCGATCTGCTTAATCTTTGGGTTCAATAGAGATGTGTGATGTTGATAATTTATGGGATTGATTATAGCGATATAGCTATATAGGTTCAAGATGGGAAATTTATGGTCATGCTAATATTAAACTGTATCAAACATATCATATCAGGTTGATGATAGGTTGATAGGTTTGGTATTTTGTTATGTTTTATTTCAGAGTGTCTTTTTGTTTTGTATGAATTCTGATGTCGTTAATCCTGTCTTGTGTGAAATGTCTTAGTTATAGACTATATCTGTGTTAAACTGGTGGTTGACTGTTGGATCATCTCTATTATTATTTTGTTTTACAAACATAACATACACAAATACTTATTTTTAGTTAACTCTTTTAAACGAAAACAAAATGTAGGTTTGTTTTAGTGCATCTGAGTTATTTTCTTGTTTAATAGCTTAACATATCTGAGCTGAATATGTGCTAAGAGGATGAGCACTGGTTTTTCATAAAAATATGGATTTATTAATCAATTTTTTTTATTGTTTATTTATTTATACATTTACAGCTTACACCACACACATAAGTTATAGGCCAATATTTAAATAAGTAATACAAACTACCTAAATAGAAAACTTACATGACATATATGACAAAATAATATAAAGAATGTTTAGTTATTTATTATTTCTTGCACAAAAGCATTGAACATTAGGCGGGTGATGCAGAAACAATCCAGTGGTAGACGCAAGAAGCAAGCAAATTTTACTTATTATGAATATACCATAGTTATTCATATAGGTTTATATAAAAATAAATAAAATACACAGAAATATACATATATGTATACATATATTTATAAAAAATATTATATAGCATATCTCATAATACAAAATATATTCAAGTACTTATTTATATAATATAAACATAGATATATATAAATGGAGCTGTGATCACAATGACTTCCCCCCCCATTACAATTTTTTTAGAGGCTAATTAGTTGTTCATAATTTACTTTCGAAAAATAGATAACCTCATTGTGTTTGTCTATCCAGTTTTGTTGTTCTAAGATTTGGTACTTTGAAAAATAAATATGTTTTCTGTACATATATTTTTTAAGAGAGAAAGACTTTCTTACATCTGTCTCTTGATATTGTCTCTTGTTTGGTTGTGTTACTCGTATGTATGTCAACTTCGAGTTGTTATGCTCACTTAAAAGTCACATTGGCACGGGTACCTACTGGATTGCTTGATTCCTTATACTATGGTTCAGCAGATCAGGAAAAGTTTCTTATGAAAAAAATTTTAGAGGGGAGATCTGGGAAATAGGGACCTTTTCGTCGTTAGCGAGTTATTTGGAGACCCATTGCCAAGCAGGGGTGGGGCGCTAGTTTTCAATAAATTCAGTACGTCTCACGAGAACTACTATTAGAAAAATTTACTAACAAAATAGGTATATTAAAATTTTTAATACTTATCTAAAGGAGAACTACCTACTTGATTTATTTAATTTATTCATGTATTCTCTGTTACCATTACATATCGGAGGTCTTAATACTTTATTCAGTGATACAATGAAATTCCAAATTATTATTGTTTTTTTAAGAAATGCTTAGTCTGGTATTTGGCAATTTGACTAGACTAGTAGTGCATTACATACTAAATACCAAGAAATGTAGGTATATACAAATACAGTTTTGTTAGTAAAGATTCTTTTTTTTTAATTTTATTAAATTTTTGAATGAATCTTGAATATAATTAGTACTTTTTGCTGGGGCTTAATTAATAAATACAGAATAAGAAAAAACAAACATATTTTCTTACAATTTAGGGCAAAACAAACAAATTTTTGTAGTTATAAAATTACAAAGTAAAAACAAAAACAGTATGCTGACAGCGCTAAACTGTTAGCTGTTTATTATGTTAGTTTCCAAACATATACAAACCTGAATTTTGTATGAAACAAATTTCATAGAAAAGTATTGTTTACTTACTACAAATTATGACGTCGTAGTATTTTTGCGTCAAATACCTTACTTATTTCTTTAAAATTTGCCAAAATATTCAAAATTTTGTGTATCGGTAATTAAAAGAATAGATATTTTACAACATTTTATTGTGTTAAAACGTCGAAGTAATTTATTTTTGACTTGGGAAACTAAGTACCTACTATTTACTTAGATATTTAGTAGGTATACAGAAATAAAATAAAATTAAAATGTTTTTTTTTCATTCATGTTAATCGCTAAGCTTAGTTATTTTAAATCAATCTTTTTACATGTCAACATGAAAGGAAAGGGAAGCACCCTATTTTACGGAAAAATAATAATTTTACCGTTAAATATAGAGATGCAACCAGCTTTCTATACAGATGACAACTACAGACCTGTTCAAAACTTAAGTAATTTCGTTTTCATGACTATTTTTTTAATACTATTTGAAAGTAAACAGATTTTCGAAACCGCTACTAAGCGTAAACTCAGAGTAAGCGTAACTAATTTATTTTAACATAAGTCCTTTAATCAGATGCGTCATTGAGTCCCGAAACTAAACACGTACCTACTTTAAGTATTTACAATAAATTCATACATATTAGCAATAATGGCTATGCAAACTAAAAGTGTTTACAAAATTTCATCTCAATTGCATGAAGATCTATCTACTTCAAAATTTAGCTGCAAGATTCCACTTTACAAACGTAGGTACCTACTCACATACCAAATAAAACTGAAAATGATGAATTTTGTTACGTTTCAATTTTTTCTTGTGTATTGCGAAATTATCATATAGCGGCATACATACATACCTACCTACATTCTATGGCATAACCACCACACCTCATACCTATTACCAGATAACCATTACCGTACCTCCTTGAAGAACCAGATTACCTTTACCATACCTCCGTGAACAACCAAACAATACCTTCGTTTATGACTTTCTGTGATCAGAAACAGTGAAACAGGCCGCCTTGAAAAAGGCGTTGCAAACGTTTTAGACTTCTGACAGAAACTCGTCTTGAAAAAGACGCTTGTAACGTTTTTGACTTCTGCTAACAGAAACTCGTCTTGAAAAAGACGTTTTAAAACGTTTTTGACTTCTGCTCAGAAACGAGATATAGTGAGCAAGCAATTAAGCAGGCAAGCAAGCAGAAGCGAAGCTCGAAGCACACGAAGACACGAAGTTGCGGTCCACGACACTGGACACGTCTGTAGTCGTCGGCGGAACCGGAGCGAAAGGACGCGTCTCGCGGCACGCGCCCTATTATAGCCTCGCGCTGTGCTCGCGACATCACGACGAACGGCGACCGCCACGGCGCATGCGCGCAGCCGCTCTGTCGAGCCTTGCGACGAACGCGCGCTGCTATTGGTAGATGACATATACCTATGTGTGATAGCGTGTAAGATAGCCATAAGACATGTAAATATTAGTAGAGACATTGTGCCGAATAAATCATTCCAAACCACGACAGCCTCGAGTTCACTAATAAGAAGAAACCCTGCTCTCACTCCTAAATTGGTGACCCTCCTGAAGAAAAAGAACACAAATAAATATCAAGACGGAAAAATCCCTGCAAGTCAGAAGAAATATGACAAGCGAAGAATTCAGCGACGCCCACGGCGGCGTAACGACAGTGAAGAGCGACGTGGCGACAATATCTCTGCCCGCTAGATTGCCACCATTTTGGCGCCAAAATCCTCGCCTATGGTTTGCGCAATTCGAGGCAGCTGTCGCCGCCAGCAAAATAGGAGAGGAGCAGAAGTTTAATCTCGTCGTACCATTGCTCGGCAACAACGACCTTGAACAGATCGCCGACATCATCTTGAACCCCCCAGCGTCCGGCAAGTACAGCACACTTAAAGAACGGCTGATCTCCACATACCAAGAGTCTGACCATCGCCAGCTACAAAAACTGCTGAGTGGTCTCGAGCTCGGCAACCAAAAACCGAGCCAGCTACTCCGCAAGATGCGTGACCTCAGCGGCAAACTCCTGTCCGACGAAGCATTAAAAGTGATGTGGCTGAACCAACTGCCAGCCCAAATACGCGCCGTACTCTCCGTCAACACAGAGTCATCACTCGAAATGCTAGCCGCAATGGCTGACAAAATGATAGAGCATTTCGAGCCAGCTTCTATCAACGCAGTCTCCACAGCAGCAACGTGTCAAGAGAATCTACAAATCTCCTTACTGTCGAAGCAAATCGAAAAACTATCACTTGAAATCGCCGAACTCCGCACCAACCAGCAAAACCACCGACATTCCCCGCGCTTTCCACACCGCAACCGTTCCCGCTCCCATTCAAGATCCAGACAGCACGCGCATAATAACATCAAGCCCGGCGACCCGAATTGGGTATGTCGCTACCATTACCGATTCGGCGACCAAGCACGCAAATGCGAATCGCCGTGTTCAAAGAAGCGGGAAAACTAGAAAGTACATCGACGTTGGCGGGCGTCGATGTAAACCAAACCAGCCGCCGACTATGTATCATAGACATCAACCTCCGAGAGAAATTTCTTGTCGACACGGGAGCAGACATATCAGTTTTATCAGCACGAAACAAAAAACATATCAAGCCGGCGAAGACTACATACAAACTGTTCGCGGCAAACGGCACCGAGATTCGTACCTACGGAGAGCGCACACTCGAACTCAACCTAGGCTTACGAAGACGATTCAGGTGGACATTCGTCGTGGCCGACGTAAACACATCTATATTGGGCGCAGACTTCCTAGTACATCACCAACTACTAGTCGACCTTCACCAAAGAAAACTCA